GGAGCCTAAGGTCTCTCTGCTTTCCCTTCCTTTCCTTTCCTGCAGGTTGGCTTGGAAAACCAGAGCTGGACGGACCTGAAGCAGTCCAGCTGCCCTAGGAAACCCTGGACATCCCTTCCATCCTCCAATCAATTAATCAGTCAATCCATTTAGCCTTTCTCCAAACGTGAGAGAAGGGCCCACTGCTGCACACATGACACTGGACAGAAAGCATTTCAGATGCTTGACCATAGTTTCCAGGATGCATAGGAAGATGCAACTAAATCAGCCTGTAAATATTGGAAAAACAAATCAAAATAAAAATAGAAGAGATAACATGATTAATTGCTAAGTCACTGACACAGACAAATTTAACGCTATTAGAAGGATTCTGTCTGTATTTCTCAGAGAGACTGACGTCGGGGTAGAAGGAGTGGAGACTGCTAACTTTTCCTTTATGGAATCTGTGTTGCTCGAGTTGTTACAACAAGCAGGCATTAATTTTCGGGCATGCATTAATATTATAAAGTATAGTAAATATGGCAGGGACACAAAATATAATTGGAGCTCAAGCCCAGAGAGGCCCTCTGGTAGCCATGGAAGGCGTAACGGAGGAGGCAGGTTTGAGAAAAGTCTTGCGGGATTGGGAGGGAGACGGGCAGGTACTCTAGATGGCAGAATATTCTGTGCTGAAAGCACAGGGGGGAAAGCGTAAGAGAAGGCCCAGCAGAAGGGGACAAGGTCTGGCTGCATCCTTCGCCTGATGAAGTGAGGCCATACTCCTGTCTCCTCAAAGCTGATGAGGACAGCGCCCCAGCTGGCGGCTTGGGTGGGCAGCAGAGGGTCTCTTGGGGGAGGCATCTATGTCTCACATATCTGAGGTCACCCCCCTCCAGCCAGTGGGCTGCAAGGACACGCCAGGGTGGTACTTGGCCCAGTTCAGTCCACCTGCTACAGATCTGCCTGGACTTCTTGAGGGCGTGAGAGCGGATTCTCTGTTCAGAGAAAGAAGCGGCTCGCCCAAGTCACACAGCAAGTTGGTGGCACAGATACTCTGTCCAGCCAGCTGACAATCCTCCCCGGCACTCTGAATGTTCCTTCTTCCTCCACCTAGAGAGCCCACTCCCAGGCCAGCTTGGACAGCCTGGGCACCTCCCTGCATCTTCCGATCCCCACCAGCTCCACTTCCCTCCTGAGGCCTGCTGGCCCTCCCCTTTGTCTTGGAAGCTGAAAGCAGCCTGGCCTCATGCCCAGGAATGCAGTGGCTCACGCTCCTGCATTTCTTGGTCCCCCACTCACTGCTTCCTGCCCTTCAGGGGTTTCCAGGTATCAAGGTCCACAGGGGAGGGGCTATTTCCAGACTAGCTCTCAGCTGGGGATGCCAGGAGATGCCATCTTGGAGAAGCTCCTTGTCAGTGTGACATGAGGGTGACCCCAGCTTCTATGTTCATCAGGCCTGGGCAGGTCTTGCCCAGCCTGGAGAACTCAATCAAGCAGCCACGGGGGAGAGGAGGTCGGCCAACCACCCTTCTGGGTGCTCTGTGACCTCCGTGTGCGGAATCTGACTCAGCGGAGTCCGCAGAGAAAGAATGCAGGTCTGAGGCCCTACGGTTGCAGAGCTGAACTCCAGCTCCACCATTTCCTAGGAAATACATTTTCTTTGTATGTATGAGTCTCGTTTGTACAGTGGGCAGATACAGCCTACTCCAGGCTTAAATAAAATAGTACAAGTAAACAAGTCAGCATGGTCATGGATACGCCACGGGCCTCCTTCCCTGATGACTAGGTCCACATCAGTGCTTCTAGAGAAATAAAATAAGCATTACGCTTTCTTCGACCACCCAATGACTCCTTAGAACATCCCTACTGATGCTCTGAGTTAGTTCCCACTTTGCAGGGAGGAGTTGAGGCCCTGAGACGCTGAGTGGCCTCTCTGCAGTCACACAGCTTGTTGGAGGAGTCCAGGCGGAGCGCTCCTACGACTGCTGCAAAGGGCAGCTCTCCTTTGCTGAGCACTTAGCAGGCCCCAGGCTCCGTGCTAAGTGCTCTGACCCATCGCATGCCAGCCGATACTCACAGTAACCTTGTGCATCGGGTGGTGCCGTTATTCCCATTTTACAGATAAACTAAGCTGGGGAGGAGCCGGGTCACTTGTCCGAGGCCACGGAGGTGATAAGCTAGCCCGCCGGGGCTGCCTGACTTCAAAACCCTGTAGTCCAGCCTCCTGACGCCACCAGACCCTGGCCCCGTGGTCAGGGACTTGAACACACAGTTCTAGCTGGCCCATGCCCAGCTCAGGGCAGCTCCCCACCCACCTCGTGACCCTCAGGGACAGGGTGGATGTCAGGCCAGAGCCCAGGACTGGAGGCCACTCCTTAGGGGCCTGCCTCCTGGGGGGCGGGGCAGGGGGACGGACTCAGCCTTGGCACAGCCCCGAGGTCCTCCTGATAAGAATGAGCCCCAGAAGCAGCAGGATCAGGACCCATGGGTACAACATACAAGGGCCAGTTCTGGGCTTCCCTGGGAAGTGGGAGGGCCCGTCCACCTCTCCTCCCCTGTCTCCTCTCGATGCCCACAGCTCCCCAGCCCCTCTCCATTCCAGACTGGTGGTGTGTCCTTGACAAAGTCACTTAATTAAGTTCTCTGAGCCTCAGTTTCCTCATCGATAAAATGGGTACAACAATCCCTAAGTGCCAGGGTAGCTGCGGGGATTAAGGAGGCAGTGCATATAAAGAGCCTGGTATGGTGTGTGCTACGCAGCAGCGCTCAACAAACATCAGTCTCTCTCCCCGTTTCCTGCAGACCCTGATGCTCCGCGCTCCCTGCTGGCCTTCTCCAGCAAAGTGGGAAGGGGGTCATTCCCACGCCTGACACTGAAGGAGGCGATGTGGCACAGGGGAAAGGACATGGGACCAGAAGCCAAGCAAGTCCCAGTACTGTCACCTACTAGCTGTCTTGGGGATCTCTCTGGACTTCAGTTTTCTCATCTATCTAATGGGGAGAACAATCGCTTCCCAGCTCCCACCCCACAGGGTCAAAGGGACGACATCTACACAAGAGCTCTGTAAAGTGTTGTACAAAGCTCAATGGTGAACAGTAACAGTAACAGCTACATAAACAGCAGCCACCACAACACGCCAGGCCGAGGCAGAGCACTCTACATGGATGTTCCCATCTGATTTTCATAACCTGGAGGAGACACGGTTACCATTGTACTGATGAGAGAAGCAGCCCAGAGAGGTTATGTAACTGACCCAAGATCACACAGTAAGTGGCAGAGCCAGGATATGAACCCAGGGCCTGGTGACTGAGGCAGAGGTGCTAGCCCATCTTGTTATTCTCCCTGGAGCGCTCTCCCGCCTTGGTTGATGGTCCCTGCCAAGCCCCCAGCACTGAGGAAGGGACAACCTGGAGTTTCCAGTCTCACTGCCACAGACATAGCTGCCTTTTAAGCTTCTAGTTCTGAAGTGAAAGGCTGTGTCTGTCCCCTTTCAAAAGCACTTGGGCAGCACAAAGCAGCCAGGGGCTTTGCTGTTCCTGACATCCGGGTTCCTGCAGCCCCACCTCCACCCATACCCTGTTCTGACCCTCAGGGAGACAAGCAGGAGGCTGTGTGGCTGAGGGGCCCTGCCCAGGAGCTGCTGGGGGCCAGGGAGGAACAGTGGGTGGTTTTCACCCAGCAGCAGCCGTGCCCCCAGGGGCTGGGTGGGAAAGAAAGGAAAGGTCTCCTTACCCTGGCTTGCATAGTTCCACTTTCATCTAAAGACACAGTTGCCTTAAACCCCTAATTGTCAAATTAGAATCTTTTCCTACCTCATACGAAGGTTTCTGTCCCTTTGAGAAGATTTGTCCCCTTTTAGGTGTCTTCTTCTATTTTACCTACTTTTGAGTATCTTGAGGGTTTTTTAGAAACTTAGGAAGTATTTGTCAACTCTAAGTTCTGTCACAGATGGATTAATTGACTGGCTCTTCATGATCTAGCCTCTGCCAGCATTTAGGGTCTTAAGATGGGCAGGGGTCAGCAGGAGAGCGAGACAGCAAAGGTCCTGGCTGCTAAGGAGTTCAAGTCAGGACCTCTGTATGTGACAGCATGGGGGGTGTGATCTCACGTGGAGGAGGACCCCAGCAGGCAGATGTTAATTCAACAAACATTAATTGGAGATACAGCTGAGACAAGGCAGACGTGGAATTCTAATCTATGGATAAACCACCAACACTGAGGGGCCAGCCCTGTGGCCTACTGGTTAAATTTGGCGCGCTCTGCTTCAGTAGCCTGGGTTTGGTTCCCGGGCATGGACCTACACCACTCGTCAGTGGCCATGCTGTGGTGTTCACCCACATACAAAATAGAGGAAGACTGGCACAGATGTTAGCTTGGGGCAAATCCTCCTCAGCAAAAAAAAAACGAAAACCAAAACCAAAACCAAAAACCACCAACACCGAGGTCAACTAGAGGTGCGAGAGGCCTAACAAGTGCAAAGAGAAGAACTCTGGTTAGGTGGCTCATGCCAGCCGATGACCATGAGGCTGAGGAGATTCCCGCCTCCAAAGAGTAACTCTCAGATAAACTCTGGCTTAAGTTTTATCTGCTCACAACCTTAAAATCTGATCTGGTTTCCTCAGCCTCGATTCCTTATCCTCACGCCCTGTGAAACTCACAATCAATACTAGTCAAAAACGAAGCCTCAGCCTGAAGTCACAAAGCAACAACTACAGCTACCAGTTCTGCTGCACCTACTGTACGCCACAGACACCATGCTAACACTTCACGCGTGTGCTCTCTAGTTCACAAAACTCTGCAGTTGGGGTACCATTCATTCTGTTTTACAGTTGAAGAAACTGAGGCTCAGAGACAAGCAACTCACTCAGGATCACACCTGAGCGACGGCGCAGACGGTCACACACACTCCACAGTAGGCGGCTTCACTGACTCCAGGGCCCGCGGTCCTGCCCTTCTGCCCAGCTCTTCCTCTAACTGGCCCTCGTCTGCGCCCCATTCCTTGGTCCTCCCGGGCGCTTACCGAGAAGGTGCTTGATGATGGCTTGGTTGTGCTCCCAGAGGTTGCTGAAGGTCCCCCAGCGTGAGTGGCCATCAGGCACGGGGTTGGCCTTGATCCAGCCGCCACAGGCGTAGGTGAAGAAGTCCTGGCAGGGGTCCACTGTGGGGTCCATGGAACTCAAGATGGAGCTGGTCACTGAGATGCAGGCCTCGCTCAGGCACACTGAGGGGGTTCCTGGCAGGGGTCAAGGACAAGAGGCCAGTGAAGGGCAGGTAGGCAGGAGGCTGTGGGAACACAGTGCAGGTGGCCTGGGGCCCTGGGGTGCCAGGCCCCACCCCGGCCCTGACCAAACAGATTTGGAACCGGATAGTCACTAGACCCCAAGGAGAAAGGATCTCAGTAGATTTACGATCTCCCCGCTTGTAAAATAAGACTTCTATTTAGACGCCTAAAATGTGCCCAGAATGAAGGTGTTTCTCTTAATCAGGCCTTCCTTCCACAAACAATCATTGATTTTTTTATTATCCCAATGTTCAACAAATTTGTTCACTCATTCATGTATTCATTTATTTGACAAAATAATTACTGAATACCTCCCAGGTTCTTCACTGAGTGTGTGGGGGGTGGCGGGGGATATGAAAGGCAGAGTCCTTTCCTTCAAGAGCTAACAACTCAGTTGTACATACACACACGATATGAGAAAAGTTAAAAAACAAGAGGAGGAGAAGTGCCTGTCATTTATTCGACGAATGTAACCTGAGGATATTTAGTCCACGCCAAATGGGTGATGCAGACAGTATGGCGCCAGGACTCAGGAAGAAGGGAAGCTCACTAGGAACGGAGGAATTAGGAGAAACCATTCCCACTGAGCACAAGGCAGAAGAGTGACCTCACTGAACCTGCAAAGAAACAGAGGTGAAACAAACCTAAGATCACTTTTCTTAAGGTCCTTTTGTAGATGAGGAAACTGAGGCACAGAGAGGCTAAGTACCTTGTCCAAGGCCAATGGGATTTGAATCCCACCCCCTCTCCGCTGTGTGTGCTGTGGCCTGGGGGGAGCTCTCCCAGCGAGGACGGCACCACACTGCCGGGGGCAGGGCAGCCCGTCGGGTGGCGGCTGAGGAGGGACACCAGTTGGTGCAGGTGGGCTGTGGGGAAGGCTGCCAAATCCTATCAGTCCTACAAGTGCCCCCAAAACACAACGAGCGGAGAAAGCAGCTTCCCCTGAGCTGGTTCTCACAGGCTGTGGGGCAGAGGCAGTGGGGGCTGAGGACACCAGAGGCAAGGGGGGCGACCCCCGCCTCAGGGGGTCTAGGCTCAAGAAAGGAAGCAAACTGTGGACAGCCTCAGCCGCGGCCCAGCCGGAGGAAAGATGGGCCTGACTCTGTGGGAGACGGAGGCCCGATGTGCAGGCTCACCAGCAAGGACACTGGCCCAGAGAAGGGTCGGCTGACACAAGCTGCACTGGCGACAAAAGGGACCGTTTGCTGAACACGGCTCTGCCCCAGGCACGTCACACACACTCGTGACCTCACTCAGGCCTCCCTACAGGCACCAGATATGTGTGATCCCTGTTTAAAGAGGAAGAAACTGAGGCTTGGAGCGAGTGAGCGCTCTGACCCATCCCACACCTCCCTGGCTGGCTGGGGACTTCTGCTTTCGCCCACCAGCTCGGCCGGTCACGCCGGGGCGGCTGCTGCCCTTCTGGTGAGTCCGGTTTCCCCGCTGCACAGGGAGGAGTAAGGCAGGGCCGGCGATGGGCCCGGGTTCAGAGCCCAGCTCTCCACTTCTGGCTGTGGGCCTTGCGGAAGCGACCCCCTCTCTCCGAGCCTCAGTTTCCCTATCTAGAAACGAGGAAGAATGGTAGGACCAGTTCTGCAGTGTGATGAAATGACCTCATGGCTGGACACGGGGCTCAGCTCCCTGGAATCTTAGGGTCCAATGTCCCTCCAGAGCAGAAAAGGATGCAGGCGCAGTCCTCGCCTCACTCGGGGACACAATGTCGGCCGGGGCTGGGGCGGCCTGCGGGCTCATTACCATCTGTTGACAAACACAAAGTCCTACAGGCTGACAAAGGGTGCTGAGGAGCTGCACAGCAGCACAAAATCAGGGTGACTTTATTTTAAGGTAATTACTTATTTTGACTTGACTACACAGCAATTAAAAATTATTGAACCATTAAGCATGAAAATAGAGAAAGGAAATGGTAGGGGATATGGTGCCATTTAAAATATCTCAAGATCAGATCATCTCAGAGTGGCATGCCCCACTCCCCGCCCAGCGGGATGTGCCAGACTCTTTATGGGGGGTGGGAATGGGGGAAGAGAATTTCTGTGCCGTTCGAAAAAGCCTATTCACTATTATGATACAGCCTCATAATTGGAAAAGGGAAAAGAATATCCATTGTTTTTACACAACAAACTGCAGGAAGTAAAGCTTGATAAAATCTTGGCTGGTGGGAATGTCCAGAAAACAGACTGCAGACAGACTAAGAGGGCGATCCTAGGGAGTGAGACAGATGAGGATGCGTGCGTGCGTGCGTGCGTGCGTGCGTGCGTGCGTGCCTGTGTGCCTGTGTGTGCATGAGAGACATTCAGATTTTAATAGTTATCATAAGGGGACTTGGGTTTAAAAACAAAATAAGAAGCCAGTCCCAAGGAACCGGTCTGAGAGGCTGACTTCCTCACCAGGCAGCCCTCTGCCAGGCACAGGGCAAGGTCCCTAGATGGGGCTTAAGCAAAATAAATGCTTGATTATTTAACTCACTATTTAATGGTTTGTAGATCGTTTACGGACTGTTGCTGGCCCAGCAGGTGCTTAATGAATATTTGAACAATTAACAGTTTCCAGGCTGCCCTCATCTCAGATGAAGGTCAACACCTTCAGAACTCAGCTCAGACTCCAGCTCTTTCAGGAAACCTTCCCAGACCCTTGTCCCTCTCTGGGGCCCTTGCTTGGCTGCCTGGGTGCCTGCTATCCCAGGACGGACTAGGACGTGTCATGGCGGTCTCCGTGTCCACCTCCCCAACTAGAATGTGAGCTTGAGGGTGAAGCCAGCATCTTACTTGCGTTCACATTTCCTTTGCCCAGCACTGTACTTGACACCTATCAGCTGCTGCTCCATACGTGTTTGCTGAATGACTGACTGACTGAATGAATGAAACAGCTTTGTCCAGCACCTGGTCATCACCTACAGAGGCAGAAAATATTTCTTCCCCTTACGACATGCATGATCTATCAAGAAGGCAGGAAGAGGTCCCAGATCTAGTTCACAGACACTCTTCTGGACAGTGCCTGCTCGCAACACTAAGACACTTCAAATATTTTCTGGGAGAATTTATTGTTTGTTTTGCTGCCGCTGTTTGCAAAATACCTGCAAGCTTCTGGAAAGGCGGGTACAGCACAAAGGTGGATAAATATGTATTCAAGGGCCCAGACATAACTTAGAGGTAGGGCTTTCGAAATCTTCAAAGAACTTGCTTTGACTGGCCTGATGTTTCCTCAAGTGCAGCTGATGCCAGCACCTGCTGCTGGGTAATGAGGTTCCGGTCAATGTCCAGGGTGGCCGTGCTTTCCCAGGCCACAGCAGCTGATGAAGACACACGGGTTGGCTCAAAGGTCACCTGATTTCGGGCCCAGCTCCACCCTGGGTTCCTCTCAGCCAGGTCCAGGCTGGGGAAAACACTTCTGCGGCCCTGAGGGGCTGGGACAGAGGCGGAAGCAGGATTCCTCCCTGTGGGCCCCGCCTGACAATCAGAGCAGAAGGGTTTTGGGCCTAATGACTAGGAGCCAGCCCTTGGGGACTCCCTGTTGGTTTCTGGTGGAGAAACATCTTGGGAACTCCCAGGGGCAATCTCAGGGTGACACTGCCTGCTGGAGCGTCACCTGCTCCCACACACAGGGCCAAGAGCCAGGCAGATGAGGCCAGCCAGGGTCCACACTGCCCAGCAGGGTGTTCTGAACTGACGTTGATTTACAATGAAGCAAGATGGTGGCTGCAGGACAAGAGTGACCAGCAGAGAAAGGCTGTTCCCGGTTTAATCCTCCTTCTTGTTCCTTTGTCCATTCAATCATGTATTTATTCCCTTTACAAACTATTTGCATACCTACGGCATGCAGACATTATGCTAAGCACATATGGTTAAGGGCCTGGAAATAATTAATTAATCAAATATGCATTAAGCACCTGCCAGGCTAGGCACATCTGGTAAAACATCTACAAACCACTACATAGTCAGTTAAATAATCAAGCAATTATTTCTTAAGCCCCATCTAGGTCCCTGATACAGAGTACAAACATTAAATATTTGTGAAATGAATGGACGGATGGATGAGTGCCTGATGGAGGGGGGATGTAAGGATGGAAGGGATGGAGTCCTGCCCCCTCTCCAGGCCCCAATCCCCTTCCCCATCCTGGTCCAGCATGGCCACCCACGGAAGCCAGCAACTTCAAAGTGGGGAAAGCCCAGTGAAGCCTGGAGTTGATGTTCCCAGATCCCATGAAGGTTCACGATCTCTCTGATGGGATGAGGGACCAGGTGAGCAAGTCGGTGGGGTTAGACTCTGAGCAAAGCCCCCAGAGGCTGCTCAACCAGGTGGACTACTGCCATCAGAAAGCTAGATGCTGCGGCACAGCGGAGTGAGAGATGCTGGAACGGGCTGGACTCGCCATCCTCACTTTTAGCTCAGATCTGCCCTTTCCAGTTCCATAAATGCTTACTGAACCTCGACCCTGTGGGATGCTCTTGGCTGGACGCAGATCCAACCTCAGACCCCTGACAGTGGGATCGGAAAGGGGTCCAACCACACTGCTATACAAGGTAGGACAGAAATGTGAATACGGAGGCACATAAAGGGCAGCTAGATCATGGAGGAACAGCTTTCCTGGGGCTACCAACGCACACTGGGGTGCACGGTGCTAACAAAGGGAGGCAAGGCTTGGGCTCGGGCCCGCCAGCCTGTGGCTGAATTCCAGCTTCCCCCTTTCCTCCCACGCTAGCCATGAAACCTCGGGCACATCACTTAGTCCCACTGCCTCACTTTCCTCATATGGAAAATGGAGCCCAAAGTAACCTCATAGGGTTGCTGGGAGGAGGAAACGAGATTAAGTGTAAAGGAGAGGTGTGGCACTTGGTACACGGAAAGCATTCAGTAAACGGAAGCCATTATCGCTGCTTTGTTGGAACTAAGGATGGCAGACAGTGCCAGCCTGTGCGTCTAACCAGGCCACATCCTAACAACACAAGTACCTGGAGCTAAGGTTGGAGAAGTCCTACGGGGCTCCAGGTTTGTGATACACATTATCTCTAATCCTCAGAGACATCCCCAAACTGGGCACTGTTTTCTCCATGTAAAGCAGAGAAGACACAGGTGCTGGGAGATTAAGTGACTTGTCCAAGGGCACAGAGATTACGGTAAGGGCCAGGCCAGGATTTGGACTCACTTCCATCTCATGCCAAAACCCTTACACCACCCATGCCACTCACCTCCCAGGTCTCAGTCTACTCAGCAACCTGAACCCTCCAGACCTAGCCCTCTCCTTGGCCTTGGAGGCCAGTTCTGGCCCGAGCAGGAAGCCCCCTTGCACAGGCAGACAGAATTAAGTGAGTTAAGCCCACGACGCAACACAGAGGCACCTACTTGTTCGGTACTGGAGGCCCAGCACTGCCAGGCAGGCCACCAGTCCTGCCGCCAGAAGTGCCACCAGCACCAGCAGCCGCTTCTCCACCTGGGTCCTCGCAGCCCAGCACTTCTGGCCACTCCGGGGGCTGTGGAAGTTCACCTGCAGAGAAGGAGGCGGTGGGGGCGGGGAAGACGTCAGAGGGTCCCCCTTCCCCAGGAGGAAGGGGCTCTGTGGCGGACCCAGGCCCCAGGGAGACATCAGGGAGGCCCTTGTGCCTCAGGGGTGGTCTACTTCCCCCGCAATCGGTCCTAATCCAGGAGAGGAACTGCCACCCTGCTCAGCAGCTCAGATTTGCTCCTAAACATCAGAGTCAAGCAGCTCAGCCCAGCCGGGCTTGTGTTTTTTGTGTCACCTGATATGGGTAGAAGAAAAAAAAGATTGGCCTTTCCCTGTTTCTCCAGTAAGGAGTTCAAAAAAGAACAGGATGTTTGGCCTCACAGGCTTCCAGTGGGCGTCCAGCTGGGCTCTCCTAGGAGCCCCCGCATCGATAGGCTGGGATGACACAACCATCGCTCACACTTCCCACGAGCACGGACATCCTTACTCATTAAGCCCCCACAATGCCACGAAGGCTGTGTCATTAGTTCTCTTTTTACGAAGGAGGAAACTGACGTCCAGAGAGGTGAGACCCTGGCCTCTCGTCACACAGCTAAACAGCAGAGCTGGGATGTCAGCTCCAGCCTGTCGATTCCAGAGCCCACTGGTGGGCCAGAGATTTGGGAGATGGCAGGGGAGATGCCATGGAGAAATGGCTCCATTCAGGCAGGTCCTCAAAGGGAGGAAAACTGTCCCCAGCCTAACAGTCTAGCTAAACAGGAAGGGAGGCACAATGAGAGGAAGTGGAGGGCGTGGCAGGGCCCTCCAGGCTGAGGAGGGACACACCAGCCAACAGCACTCACAGCCCTCGGTCCCCGGGCCAGCCTGGGGCTCCCTTCTGTTCCGAGAGGTACTTCCTGCAAGAGCCGGGACCACAGGACAGGAGGGGTCCCCTGAAGGTGGGGCTCAGTTCAGTGACATTGCAGCCGTGTGCCAACAGCTGCGCACCAACTCAGGCCATGTTGGAAACACTGAAAGGAAGACAGACTCCCTTGCTTTCAGCTGCTCACAGCCCAGCAGGGAGGTTGTTAAACAGACTGGAGTGGGCATCGGTTCAGTCAAGGAAGGCTTCCTGGAGGCAGGATGCCAGGACTGGGTCTTCAAGAATAAGCAGGAATTGGCCAGGTCAATGGGGAAGGGAAGAAGAAAGTGGGGCAAGGCCTAGATCCTCAGGGTGCTGTAAACCAGTTTAAAGAACGTGGACTTCTTCCTGCGGGCTGGAGTGACCTGATCAGGTCACTTTGGAAAGGCCAAGGTGGAGGGACCAAGGCTTGGAGGGGAGGCAGGGAGACCCACAGCCTGACAGTGGCGGCGGGGGGAGCTGGCAAGGGGTGAGAAGCCCCACCATCACCTGCGAGTGTGGCTGCTTCTGGGAGCCAGGTCACAGCCTTCAGGGAGCCTCCTACTGGCACTTGGGGATCTGAGGCTGGACACCTTACAAAAGGGTCCCAAGTGGCCTCGTGGTCATTACTAGCTATTTTCTGGACAGGAAATGACTGGGAATTGCTGCACCAGACAAAAGGAGAACAAAGAACTTTTCACGGAAGAAAAATTGGGTTCTAAAACCGAGAAAAGGAACCTGGGGCCCACTCATATTTCCGGGGAGACCAAGAGGCTCGGGCATTAAAGGAGCTGCGTCAGGCGGGGGGCAGGGCGCCGCCTCCTGAAATCCTTTCAGAACCTTTTTAAAAATGTGAGAAACAAAGATTCTGGGCATGTTGCTGCCACTAAGTTAAAACTTTGGGCTGGGAGGGCGCAGTGCAGAGACAGCCAGCCTGGGACGACGCTAACACATTCACAGCACTGGAAGGTTCGTCAAGTGCTTTTCCCGAGGCATCAATTCTCTCATGTGGTTGACCTCGGACACTGGTGTTCAGAGGGGTCTGGATTTGGATTGGAAGGAGACACTGCCTTCCTGGGGGCGCCAACATTTATTCTTATTTTTCCTGCTGTCCCAGCCCTGGACTGGGCTCACCTTCTGCCTTCTCCTCTAGGCCTCTCAGTGTGCCCGTCATCACGGCGCAGCTCATGGAGGGAGGGCGGGCAGAGGCAGACAGGTAGGGAGACTCTGCTGTAAGAGGCCCCTCTGCCTGGTGCTGACTCTAGGAAGCCAGGGAGCAGGGCCGCCAGGCTTGGGGAAGCAGGAAAACCTCCCCTCCCAGGGACAGAGCAATCCCGTGGTGTGGGGAATCTGAGGAGGGGAAAGGCAGAGAAGGAAGAGATGAAAGGAAAGAGGGAAGGGAAAAAGAGTAGCAACAACAGCTAACATCTGGGTGCTTTCTATGTGCCTGGCATCGTTTTATTGCTAGATGATGCTATTCTATCTTCACAATATCCCTAAGAGTAGCTACTAGGATTAGGTCCCGAAGAAACCAGGATGGCGGGGAGGAGGGCGGGGAGAGACTGCAAGAAAACCCCTCTCTCCAGAACCCACAGCCTCCACCATTCTCCTCCCAGGAGCAAGAAAAGTCGAGCTGAGCCTCATTGTTTGATGTCAAGCAAATAGACAGTGCTCACTGTAAAACTTAAGTAGAATTAAGTCAGAATTAAATTGAAAATTCATAGTTCCAGGCAGAAATGGCGAGTGCAATTTGACAATGGGGTTTTTAACCTTTGTAATATTCTCTGCTCCACTCTTACTGCCCGTCTGAGGATGTGCTGGTTTCTGGACAAGCCTCGTCTCTGAGGGCAAAAGGAATCCCGAGGCAACCCCCTGCGGCAGAAGCCGTCACCTGGAGGCGCTGGGCCGAGAGCAAGACGCCTCTCCAGGAGAGGCTGTTCAGTTCCTGGATGCAAGCACAGGGCCGGGGCTGAGAGTGTGGGGTGCTGTCTGGCTCGGCGAGTCCCTTCTCCTCTCTGAGCCTCCACCATCCCTGCCCTGCCTCCTTCAGAGGCCGCGGAGAGGATCCTGGACACAGCAAGAGGAGGATGCCAGTGGTTTCTCGCTTTCCCTTTGGAAATGAACGTGTGTCAATCACAAGAGACCAGTCTGCAGCAACTGGGAGGGTTGAAGGATTACTGGTGGGCAGCCTGCTCCGTCTTGGGAGAGGTAACTGGGAAGTGGCCATCAGCCAAGGAGCTGAGCTGATGCTTGGAAGATGGAGATGAGAATTACCGTAGATGCTCAGCTCACTGGTGGGCTTAATATCCTATTTATTGTCGTGTAAGGCAGAGAGAGAATGAGATAGAAAGCAAGGGATGCTCTCAAAAGACAGAGGTGGAGAGGGAGACAGAGAAGGAAAGAGAGAGACAGAGCCAGAGAAACAGACAGACAGAGAGAAACAGGCGAGCTATCCAGCCCGGGAGTTCCCAGGGTTTCCACAGCCAAGGGAACAAAGCCCTAATGAGGGATAAATATTTGGTTACAGAAGTGAGTCCTGGCTCACCCAGGTTTACAGCAAGAACAAGTTCTGCAGGCGAGGACGTGACACCGCCACCTGGGGCCCAGGAGACAAGCCAGCAGGAGAAGGGTGGGGAGGTCGGTTTTCAGAGGAAGCAGGGGGCCCAGTGGGAAGGCAGAAGCTCTTGCTGAGCCCCTGCCAGGTTCCCCAGCGACCTGGGCTGCATGAGCAGCAAAGAGGAGCCAGTCTAGCCAAGGGTTTGGCGTCCAGCCCACCCCCTGCGGCCCCTCCGTGAGGGCTGGCAAGGCGACCAGGCCACCTGCCTTGAAGTCAGCCTTTCAGAGCTGATGGACCATGACAGCTCAGCCCACCGTGGCACCCTGCCTCCCTGAGGGTGTTAGGTTGGGGACATTTCTTCCAGTAAAGTTTCCATATGGCGCACTTCCAGCTGAGGCCATTGGCGCCAGCCCAGAACAAAACTATAATGTCCTCTTGTCCTCCCCACCTCTTCCCCGAGCCCTACCTGCGCCCCGTCTCTCTTCCAACGACTGGCAACAGTGTAAAGCAGTACCTGTTGTGGGGGAGGGGACTCCTTGCATTTAAACAGGAATCGAAGTCTAGTATTTAGAAGAAGTACTTTCCGGTTCTCTTTGCTTCCCAGAGCAACACCCAGCGGCTGATGGCACGGGGGAACAGGCGCAAACCTGAGAAGCCAAGGGCCAGCCTTGACTTATTCAAGACCCCACCATGTGTTGCTGGGCAGCCTCTGGGCCTCAGGCTCCTATCTTTAAAATGAGGAGGTCCCAGGTCTGACCATCTCAGATTCTAGAAAAACTCTAAGGCCAAGAATTTAGGTTCCAACAGGTGGACAGAGCTGAAAGGATCTCCTGGTAAGCAGAGGGGTCTTTTAAAGTACCGAGTGGAACTGTCTCCGAAATCACTCTTGAAAGACAGCCCTGTGGAGGGCAGGGGAAAAAAAAGGAAAAAATCACCGCTAGGAATTAAACATCTCAACTTTCCTTTTTCTTGAAAAAATGCATTTTTAGGAGTAACCAGATGAGTTTCAAAGGTTTTGGTAAACAGTTGTGGCTCTCTGCTCCCCAGCTCAGGCTGCAGGTGTAACCCTAGCTGTCTCCCTTTGAGCTACTGAAATGCTGTGTGCTGCGGTGTGGGGAGGCCAGGCAACCAGTCTAAGCAGAGCAGAGGCCTCCGAGAGGAAAACTATTCTATTTAGGGCATTATTGAGACATCACGCCTGGTGAGTTTTGATCATAATCCTGATAGCAACCAAATCCACCTTTTGTGCACTACACAAAATGCTTCCACTTATATGGTCTCATCTGAATCTTTGCAGCAGCTCTGGGAGGTAGATTAATAACTTCAAGCCCATTTTACAAATGAAGCTGTTTGTGTGACTGCTTTCAGGTCCCACAGGCCATGAGAGGCAAAGCTGGGGCCCCGCATTAGGGCTACCTGGCTTCAAATTCTGCTCTCAGTCCACAGTGACTAACTTTAGTGGGTGGCAATTAACTGGTGCCTAAAATATGAGATAAAGGAAAAGCAAAACCCTTTCAGGTGAGGTGCAGGCAGAACTTTGCTCCAGCTAAATTCAACACTTTGTCAGCATATTCAGTAATAAAGGTGGCAAGTTTGGCTGAAAGAAGTTTTCATTTACAGTCACGTTCTGAGAAACGCACCCTTAGGTGATTTCGTCATCGTGCGAACATCACAGAGTGTACTTACACACACCTGGATGGGAGGGTATAGCCTACCACGCACCCAGGCTCTATGGTACTAATCTTATGGGCCCACATCGTATACGTGGTCCACCGTTGACAGAAACGTCGTTATGCAGTGCATGACTATACTAGTACTGTTGTCGATAGATTTGGAGTTCCTAGAACCAATGGGCTTCAAAGTCCTGAAAAATCAAGTAGCTTATTTATTTATTTATTTATTTATTTTTAGGAAGATTAGCCCTGAGCTAACATCTGCCACCAATCCTCCACTTTTTGCTGAGGAAGATTGGCCCTGAGCTAACATCCATGAACTTAACCACTATGCCACCAGGCTGGCCCCCTCAAGTAGCTTATTTTTAATGTTGCCAGTCAAGAGAGGAAGATTTAGGGGACTGGGTCCACTTTAAAAAGTCTAAAGGGGCCGGCCCCGTGGCCAAGTGGTTGGGTTTGTGCTCTCTGCTTTGGTGGCCCAGGGTTTCACCAGTTTGGATCCTGGACGTGGACATGGCAGTGCTCATCAGGCCATGCTGAGGCAGCGCCCCAAAGAGCATAACCAGAAGGACTTACAATATATAATTATGTACTGGGGGCTTTGGGGAGGAGAAGAAGAAGAAGAAAAAATAAATAAAAATAAATAAATAAATAAAAAGCCTAAAATTGAGGGAGCAGTTGTGTTTCTAGCAATCAGCTCATAGGAAATTATCCAAAAGGCTAAAAGACGGTCATCCACAGCTTTACAGTTACTGAGACCAGCTGTAGCAGATTGAGTAAATATATTTTTATATATTGGTACCATGAGGTGTTAAGATTTTTAATGGCAGCATGTTTTAGAAGTTTTTAACAACAGAGAAAAACGCTTATGAAGTGGCATTAAACTAAAAAAGCAGGACACAACACTGTGTACTTAGAATGAGCTCAACTATGTTGAAAAATATATACCTACCAGTGTGAAAAACTAGCAGTGGTTGTCTCTGAGGGGTGAGATTGTTGTTTCGTTTTAAATCTTTTTTTATACTTCACTCTATTTTTTTCCCACAAATGAGCATGTAAAGCTTTTATATCGGGGGAAAAAAAAAAACCCCAATGATTATAAACATAAAATAGAAAACTCTGCTTTGCAGGTTGAGGTTGATGGTTCTCAATTCTTAGAAGAACGAGCATTGGCTGGGTCACGTCTGTTTGGGGAAGTCTGGAAGCTCAAGGCAAGCCAGGCTGGGTAACCACAGAAATGCCCCCAATCCTTGGGCCAACCTTTTTGGCTTTTTGTGTGTAAAAAGTGGACAACATACCCAGTTTGGTATACGGGCACGAACACTGCACTCCAACCCACACGACAGCTCTGTGACCACAGGAATGTCCCTAACCTCTCTGAGACTCAGCTTCATCGTCTGTAACACACCCACAGGAGGCTTTATCTCACAGGTCATCAAAACAACAAGGCGGAGGCCCCGCAATGTGTATTACACCTACTTTCTCTAACTGCTCTTTTACAGATGAGGGAACTGTGGTTTAGACAGATGAAGCGGCTTGCCCGAGATCATGAGCGGAGTCAGAATTCAAACGTGGGCCCCCGGCTTCAGAGACTGGGCTGCCCCACGATGCCAGGCAGCCTCAGGCAGACGGACGGTCTCTGGGACCTGGAAAAGGCTACATGCATGTGGGCTGCTGTTATGATGATAACAACACGGCATATTATTTTGCTGTGAATTCCGAACTGCTTTTGTGCTGATATATTTAGAACTTTCTGTGGAAGATGAGACTGAAAAAGATCGCTGATTAGACTCTGTTTTGATTTGTGAAAGGAAAAATGCCTGCCACAGAAAATCTGATTTCCTGCTGAACTTAGCCTCTTAAGAAGGGTCCATAGAAAAGAAGTTCTAGACCGACTAGGCTTGATTTCTCACTCCTGGGTCTCTAGCTCTGTGACCTAAGGCGAGTTGTGTCCCCTTTCAGAGCCTCAGTTTCCTCATCTGTAAATGGGAACAGTAATCCTTACAGCTCATGGGTGGTCCCGCAGGTTAGTGGGATGATGTATATAAGGGTGCCATATCCCAGTGCGGAGGCCACTTGGGGTCATGAGTTCAGATCTCCTGGGCCTATTTAACTAGCCTGGAGGAGAGACTCCATCAATGCTGTTTCCCTTTATCAGTATTATTATCACAGCTCCCAAGAGGTGTGCCTGAGTAGGGTTGGGCCCGGCAGCCTGACTTTCCACACACCTTAAGCTTGCCTTCCAGATGAGTTTGTGATTTGGTGTCAGTTCAATAGGTGGCCCAAGACTGTCCCCAGCACCTCCCTTGGTCACCCCGGCAGAAGTCATCCTGGACTGAGATGCCCCAGCTCCTCTCTCGATGCCAGTTCTCAGGAGCCAGATCACAGGGCCCTCTTGGGCATCACTGACATTTCTAAACTGCTCCTGCCCACCTGTGTGGGGCCAAACCCCACCCGGGCTGAGGTCCTGGTCAGGACTGTCCCAGCTCAGCCCCGCAGGCAGTGAAGAGCAGAAAGCAGCCGTGCTCACCACTCTGCCACAGGACAGGGAGGCGGCAGGCACAGTTGAGGCCCATGGGGCAGACCTTGGGGAAGGGAGGAGCTGGGCTTCCTGAGGAGGCTGAAAAGGACAGATACAGAGGGGGCAGAGGATGGGTTCCTCCCCCCATGAATTCAGGTTTGGGGGGAAAATGGAAGAATGGGGTAATGCCTACCAAATAGGGTGACCAACCATCCTGGTTTGCCCAGGACTGAGGGGTTCCAGGGAGTAGGGCTTTCCAAGCTAAAACGGGGACAGTTTTAGACTTTGCCAGTAAGGGGCCGTGTGACCCTGCGAGTCCCTCAGCACTCAGAGTCTCCCCTTCTACGGAAAGAGAACTGGACCAGTTCAGCTCTGCAGGGTGCTTCAACTCTGCCACCCGGCCGGTAGCCCCATTAGCAGGTGGTGGGAGGATCTGGGGACGGGCAGAGCTGGCGAGGGGAGGCCAGCACCTCAGGGACACTTCTGCCCCAGGAAGGCTTCCTCCCCGCGGAGCCCTGAGCTGCGGCTGGGCTGGCACGGGCCCCCTCCGGGGCTGGCAGGATGCGGGCGGGGGCAGCCCCCCGCGCATGCCCGGCTGGCGGGGCCGGGGGAGGGGGGGCCGGGGCTCCTACCTGCAGGCCGTTGGGGTACACGTCGCCCTCGGAGAGCGAGTCCACCAGGTCCTCCTCGTCCAGCGTGGCCCGCTTGTAGGTCGACATCTGCAAGGCCAAGTGCAGGACGGACTCCCTCAGCGCCTCCATGCTCTCGCCCGAATGGGGAGAATGGGAAAGCGGCCCGGGCGCCGCCACCGCCGCTGCGCCCCGCCCCTCCCGGGACACGGAGACCGGCCCACGGGCGGCGCGGCGGGGGAGGGGGTCCTGCCTCCCTCCGCCCCCGCCCGCCCCCCTGCGCTTATGCAACGCGCGCCTCTGCCCAGCGCCCAGGGCTCCGCATGCTGTGCCCCGCGACGCCCGCCCGGGCCCCACCGCCGCCGCGCGCCCCGCTGGCCAGGGCGGGCCAGCATCGCGCCACCTTCGCGGGCGGGGCCTGAGCGGCATGGGGCTCCCGGTTCCCTGCCTCGCCCCACGGGGACACCCCCAAGGCCCGAGAGTCCGGGGGCCACGTTGGCCGCTCGCTTTCCCAGAGGTCGGGAGAGAGGCCCCGCAGGACCAGCCCCTAGAAGGCAGGAAGGAGCCTCGCAGCAACCCCTCCTCCTAAGAAACCTGAAGTCCCCCTTCAATAAGGGGGCTCCCAGCGGCAGACACGAAGAGTCGAGGATTAGGAAGGTGCCCCTAGTTCGGCCCACAACAGTCAAGAGAGCGGTGCCTCCCACCGTTGGCCCCTAGGTGCGTCGAGGGAGTCTCCTCAATCAGAGCTAGAAAGATTAGAGGGGAAAAAAAGGTGGAATAAAAACGACAGGTTTTCTCCCCTCTCATTTCCTGCTTCCTCTAGGTCAGGGGTCTTTAAGCCAGAGCATTTCAGAAAATTCCAGAGAACTCCCCTGACCTAGAATGAAAGATGCTGTGTGTGCATTTGGGAGGCTGGAGGGGAATCCAGTGCTTGGCCCCAGGCTCACAGGTGTGACCCTCCCCCACAAACATTAGGATCCCCCGCTTCCAGGCCGCTGAAAAGGCAGGAGGGTAACCGGTCCCTCCACCTTCCTCTCAGGAGCCAAGAGCCCTAGGCAGGTGCTCCCTCCCCAGCTGCTTCCAGCCAGACCTGCAATCGCCCTGGAAGACATTTTTTCAGCTTTCCAAAGTACACTTCTGTTGATTGTCACAATCACACGTGTGTGAAGGAACAGGCTCAGAGGATTGAGGTGACTGCCCAGGGCGACAGCCACAGCTATAGCCCCTGACGGTCTCTGGGCTGCCACTCTTGCCCTCTTACAGCCTCTCAGCACCAGAGCGAGCCTTTAAAAGGAAATTCTGATCTTGCTGCTCCTTCGCTTAAAAGTCCGCAGGGCAGGCCCTTTACCAGTGCCCACAGCCTCTGCCCACCTCGTGGCATCTCGTGCCACTCCCCACCTTCCTCAGTTTCCCCTTCCCCCAAGACCTTTACAGCTACTGTTGCCTCTCCAGATCATTCTTTCCTCATCTCCTTGGCCGGCTCCTGCTTCAAATCTCAGCTGAAATGTCACCTCCTCAAACATCCCAACCACCATAAGCAGCCCCTCAAATTCTCTATCACAGCACCTCGCTTTTTCCCTTTATAGTATTGATTGCTGTCACGCTGTTGTTGTTTTAACGTCCATCTCCCTCCTCCTCCCCCGAATTGTGAGCTTTCTCGGGGCTGGGACCTCATGTGGCACAGAGACTCCCCATCACCCGGCGTACCATAGGTGCTCAACAGACAGTTAAAATAAATGCCGGAACAAGGGGAGGGGAAGTGAAAATGACTCTGGGACGGTGCCTATAAATCCTTTGCATCTAACTTTGCCACGTGCGCGGAGGATAAGGGAAACTGTCGTAGGGGCACAGGCCCCGAGGGAGGCAGGGTCTTAAATTCTGTCTTCTGCCTCACTCCCACTGGGGGGAGGAGTTCCCATCACCCACCCAAGGCTCCCAGGCCTTCCTCACTTCCCTCTGGAGTACACTCAGTGACAGGTGCCAACGGCCCCAGGAGAAGACCCTTGAAAAAGAAGGGCAATCCACCAAACATCTCCCCAGCCTGGCAGAGCAGGGGTATGAGGCACCGAGGGGTAGGAGGTATCTGTCAGTTCTTAATACCAATCATCTCATCCACGCCTCTCGCCCTCCCCCTGAAGCAGTATTATTGGACCCTCTTACAGAGCCTGAAACTGAGGCTCAGGGAAGTAACTCGCCAGGTGCAGTGAAGCAACGGCTCCTCCTCCTTCCATCTCATTTCAGAGATCACCCCTTCCAGGCCCCCCTGCCCACCCTCCCCTGACCCTGGGCAGTGTCTGGTCCCCTGCTCTGTGCCCCCACTCCTCCCCAGTCCCATGCTTCCTTCTCTAGAAGCAGACAGCGCTCTAGGGCAGAGGGCTGGGTCTCATCAGGTCCCATATCCCCAAGGGCCTGGGCTGGGGCTGGAGCCTCCATCGGCGTTTGAGCAAAGGTGGGAGGGAGGTGGGGGAGGGAGGCTGGAAGCCCATCTCCGGGGCCAAAGCCAGGCCCCCCCTGCCGTCCATCCCACCGCAGCCCGTCTGTGGACTCGTGGTGAGGGAAGCTCACATACCTCCCGAGCAAAAATCCGCTGAGATGGAGAGCTGTTTATTTTCCAGCACACAAAAGATGAGGGGCCCTTCTCGTAAGAGCTGCCTCGGGCCCTGCAGTGAAACTGAACCCCGCTTGGCTGTGGGAAGGGCTTAGCCGGCTCTGCTCTGCTCTGTGGGGAGCATGGTAGGCCCCAGTCATCGAGTGACATTCCAAAGGCAGCCCTATCTTTGTACCCGCCCAGCAGCGGGGTGGGGCCTTCCGTTCACTGTCTGGTTGATCCCCACGCCCACCTAGAACCACCAGTAGGTATCACTTCCATTTTACAGAAGAGGGAGGGGCGGGCCTGGGCAGCCCCGACACCTGTGTGCCGCTTGACAGAACGTCTCTCTCAGACCCCGCGAGGCCCTGTGAGGTGGGAGTCATCACCTCCACTTTACAGATGAGAAGACTGACGATTAGGGAGGAGCAAGGACTTGCCACAAGTCACCTGGCTAGAGAGCGACGGAGCCAGGATGTGAGTCCTCACCTGCCTGACCTCATGAAGCTGCCTCCAGAGCAGCCCAGCCACGCGGCTTGTAGGTGGCAGAGCTGGGCTAGAACCCGGTTCCTGGACTCCTGGTCCCATGCTCTCTGCGGAACAGGGAGCTGCTTCTCCAGGTGGGGACCTCACGGAGTGCGAGGGCGCTGAGCTGGCAGGGTGGCTGGCACTTGTCCCCCCTAATTGCCTCATTTGCGGTTGTGGGTGCCATGCCTGGCCCGGCAAGCTTGAGGAAGGGGAAGAAGCCTGCTGGTTTGTGGGGAGCCTCTAGCTGACGTGCTGGTTCCGCCCCCAGCCCCGCCAAGCTGTGGAGGAGAAGGGCTTGGTGGACACCCAGAATGGAGAAGTGGGAACCACAGCCTGTCCCCAGTCCCCCAAACCCCCAGAGGAGGTCATGAGAGCCAGATGAGGGTGTGATGGTGCCCAGCTCTGGAAGCCCCACTCTGTGGGAATCAAAGGTCTGGGCTGAAGAGGAATGAGAAATGTTATAAACGCTCCTGCGTTTCTGACGACAAAGGCCTCGGGCCCAGTGGCACCCAGGCATGATCCCATTTGCCCCCCATGCGTCAGTCACTCAGACAGCTCTCGTAGCTGGTTTGCTCCAAGGAATCTTGGAGCGCATCAAAGGCAGGAAAGAGCAACCCAAGAGGGGAAGTCAGAGGCCAGGTCTCCCGGCCGCCTCCTCCAAGCTCCTTTCACACTGTTTCTAAGCCTCAGATCCTCCGCGATGCTGGCCTTGGCACCCAAAGGGCTCGTCAGTTCCTGCCTCTGGTGCCAGTAGTTAGCTGGGATCCCAACGTAAATCCTTACATGTCATCTGTACACACTCATGTTACATGTTAGTTAAATATTATATTATCAAGCACAATAATAGAGTGAGTAAAAGCGGTAGATCCAAACCTCAGTTCAGATCCCTACTCTGCCACTTCCCAGCTGTGTGACGTTGGGCAAGTGACTCAGCCTCTCTGTGCCGCAGTTGCTTCATCTGTAAAATTAGGATGATGATAACAGTACCTCCCTCACAGGACTGCTGTGACACTTAAATGAGTTAATACAGATAAAGTACATAGAACAGCGCTGGGCACACAGCACGTGCCCACTAAGTGTTAGCTGCCATTATTTGCATCTCTTTACTGAAATAACACAAGGCTCAAAAGCCTTCAGTTGATGCCCACCGCCTAAAGAACAAAATCCGAACTCCTTAGCTTGGCATTCAAGGACTCCCCCAACTGGCCCACACCCACCTTTCCAGGCTCACCCTCCACAGAGCCCTCAGGTGTGTGGCCGTCACCCTGACCCCTGATGTACCCCTGCAGGTGGCAACCACTCAGCAGGAGTTCTCCAACTCCAGCGTCAGGCCCTGAGCTGCCAGCTGAGGGGGCAGCCCAGAGGAGGACTTGGTGCCCCGCCTCATGGGACTTGTGGCTATGTGACATCCCCTCTCCCAAGACTGTGCCCCTTCCACCTTGACAGCTGCTCTTCCTCTCGGACCTGCCTCCTCCTCCACGAAGCCCTCCCCTCCTCCCCAGCCAGAGGAATGGCACCCTTCCCCCTGGTGTGCCCCCCGGCATAGCACCTGCATTACATTCAGGCCTTTGTGTAGCGGTCTTTGTCCCTGGGATGGAGCGGACCTGGGGGGTGGGCAACAATCATCTTATCACCCTCCATCCCCCGTGTCGAGCACAGAACCTGGTATACAGATAACTGGTTAATTTGTATCCAAGGTTTTCACTAGGGCATAGGCATCTGTGACTTTAACGAAGAAGAAACAGTAGAGTTTAGTTGTTCGATGACAAAATCCAAACAGGACAACTTTGGGGAAGGGGCAAGATAGTAAAAACATGGCCGTGACTCCTGAAGATGACACCACATAACATCTGTTACTACTATTACATTATCCATTACATTTCTCCGGGTCTTTTACATGAGAAATTTCCAGGTGATAAATTTCTTTTTAAATTCACCACCAAGTTCCTGAAGGAGTGAACTGCTTCTTTGCTTTTTGATAATAAAAATCATAGGAATCAGCCTGTATCCCTTTCTTCTTGGCTGCCAGGAAGCTCACAGCCAAATCAGAAACCCACCTGTGGGCACTCTCCTGGTTCTTTATGTCCAGCTTTTTTCCTTGTCCACATTTTCCACTCTATTTTCTCTGATCCTGATTTTCCATTTCTATTGCA